TTGTGACCAGCGTATTGGCATATTTGCTTTGTGCATTCTACCGTATAAAGTTTTTTCTTTATCTCATCAGAATAATTGAGAAATCGATTAATCGGTAAGCGATAAAAGAGCGATCAATAAATTCGAATTCCGTCAAGATTTATCGCAAAATTGTCATTTGCGATAAATCATTGACAGAATTCTTATCAGAACTTATCGGAAGCTATATTTTGGAGTTTCAATATATTTCAACATATTCAACAAATATAAAATTTGCTGTACTACATATATGTATAAAATAGTTTTAGATATATATCTTACGTGATAATTATAGCCCGATACCTAAAATAACCTTCAGTTTATCTTGATTCTTATAAATTGGTCTATACGATATGATTCATATTAAATTGACATGAATCTCTAACGAAATGGCATTTCAATTGTTATAAATGGTTTTTTGTAACGGAAGAAAATCATTTAATTTCGAGACATTTCAATCGATGACCTTTTACTGCAAATTTTGAAAACAGACAAAAAACATTAATTATTTTTCCCTTCAAATTTTAAATTTTTAATCGGAATCAACGTGTCTGAAAATTCTTTACATCCACCATATTAGATCAAGCATTTCTTAATTCCAAATTTTAAGTTAAAAATTGAAAACCCTCCATTGTTACATTTCGCCGAAATTGGATGACTTTTAGCATTTTTGTCTACTATATTAGTTCAGCCATATATTGGCTCAGCCATTTTGAATTTTCTAATTTTGTGTCTGAATTTAGAATCAGTGATTCCATAAATCTTTTAATAATACTACGTTTCGCGAAAATTGGTAGACTTTTATAATTTGCATATTTTTGTCTGCTATATTTCAAATTTTTTAACAGAGTTCCAGCCGCTTCATATTTTTTATTAATTTTTTAATATCTGGATCTAGCACTTGCAGAAAATGTTTTGTGCTGATTGCTTAGCAGTTTTAACGACAGTTCTCTGCTATGCTACATTTCGCTAAAATCGAAAAACTTCGAACATTTTTATAACATTTCTTTCCGCCATATTGGTCAGCCTCATTTTGCATTCGAATTCAAAATTGGCGACTCCAAAGATCCTCTAACACTACATTTCGCAAAAATTGGAAGAGTTTTACTATTTCCATAAGCTATATCGATTCAGCTATTTTTATTTTCAAATTTTAATTTCGGATTCGGCATCAGTGACCCCGAACATTCTTTAATGCTACATTTTGCTAAAATCGGAGGATTTTTAACTGTAACATTTTTATCATATTGGTTTAGCCATTTTAATTTTTCAAATTTTGGATTCTGACTCGAAATCAGCGACGAAAATTTTAATACTTTAATACTTCATTTTCCCGAACCGAAGTACTCTAATAGCCTCAACGAAAAGAGTTTTTTAAGATAGGATTATATAAATATTATAAATATCATCATTGCATAGAAGATTTTTAAACGATACGAATAATTTAAAAATATACATATATTTTGCTCTTGATATTCCTTTTTATTTGGATGATTGGCATCGAGTATTATAAAACTATAACACATTTTGTAGGCAGGCATATGAATAGGGATGCTAAATTCTGATGTATTGTCACAATTATAGTAAATAATTCTTCACGTACAAACGATAATTACCGAATTTAACGTTAATGATTCCTTTTGAGCAAGAGTCTACAGATTTATTTATAAAAAAATCATCTAAAATACTAATAATTGCGTTGCAAAAACTTATATGATAATTAGCGATCAATTAATTAAAAGATATGAGAATTATTATTATTTACAGTTTTGCGACAAGTTGAATCGTTTGCGATTAACACACTTTGCATACATTGTACATACTAGTGTGGATAATATACTAAATCATACATATAACGTACTAATCATATACATACTAAAGTGAAAAATCTCGATCGATCAGATTTTTTTTCAAATGATATATTTTACACAAAGTAGATAAAAATCGATGATTTATTTAACGAATTATCAAACTTAGATGCCTTTTGTTGTACAATATGTATCATCAATGAGTTTTAATATACGTAACTAAAACGGGTTACAAATGAGTATTCCTTGAGAGATACGGAAAGATACAGCGTAAAAAATAAAACATTGTATCCATCTGCTGTTTACGAGATAACGATCAGCGTAAATTCCTGAGTTACGTTCAATATATCGCATGTTTCCTTTCATATATGTATACACTATTAAAATTAATCTAAATAATTTAAAAATATGATGTTGATATAGTTTTAAACACATTAATCAAATCTATATGCATACATAAATATAATTATTACCTACGCTATGCACAATACTAATCTTTACATATCTCTGTATTTATTTACAATTATCCTAACATCATTCTTTCCGTTCTCGTTTGAATAAAACTTGCGTTTCAGTTTACATATAATAAAATATTCTTTAAATTTTTATTATAAATTATTTCATAAAAAGACAATTGATACGCTCTTCATCGACACAATCAGTTCTATTCCTTTTGTAACAATAGTTTTTAAATTCTTTTACAATAACGTGATGTAATGTAATTCGATAGGGAAAACGCAAGTTTTTTTATGCGCTATTGTAAAACCGTTATTCTATAAAATTGTACTCGATTATTAATTTCTTTAAAATATAGTATATTTCACGTGATATATTGCATTAAAAATTCGCTTAGCAAAGCGGTACGAATCTGTAAAATAAATCGTAGGTTCGATAATAAAAATAAAATCAACCAGCGTATAAGATTCTTTCAAGATTACTCATACAACATAGTTTTTCAAGGGATATCGTAAGGACATACAGAGGACATCTACGTCTTAAGGATATCCTTAGGACTTTTCTTAGAGAATTGTATTGTGTGGATATATTCCATCTACAGGTTTTTTCATGACTAGAGTTATGGTCTTTCGTACTCGTACAAGTAATGGCAAGTAATACATTATATTGTCCCTAAAGCAAGGAACAAATTATTGTTCGAAAAGAACTCGTGAAAGAATCATGTTTTCTAAGCTGTTTCGCGTCATTTCGATTGTTCCTCTCGCGACTTTTTCTTCGCCAGACGCAATACATAGGAACTAATTATAAGATTAAGTTTACAATTTAAAGTCCAAAGCGATCATGTGCACGTGTTCGTGCAACTTGACTTGGGATACAGTTTCCGAATTAAAGAAATTAAAAATTAAATTAAAAACGTAGAATAATTAAATAACATAAAATTAAGTTTTCCAGATTGGCACGATTGCGGGATGTAACTATGTCGAATACATCGTAGCACACATCATGGTTATGCACAAATATTCACCAAGTATCTTTTCGATGAATTTTGATGTTGCGTATGGACAGAATGTTGGAAGCGCGTTAATAGATCATAAAATAGTATGTGCCATTTTCGCGAAACCGTTGAATTCTTCGACGCAGAAAAAGAAAAAGAGAAACGAATGTACTTATATTCATTCCTGATTTTGCTTTTGAGAAAAATATTTTACCCATCTTGTATTCCTCACTGATACGATATTTGCCTAAACATACTGCTAATCTCCTCCATAGTCTTGTTCTTCGTTTCCGGCACTTTCTTGTATATAAAGAGCGTGAAGAACAACTGCAACACTGCAAAAATGATGAACACGTAAGCGCCTAGTACCTCCTGCAGTGGCAAGAAGCCAATGCTGACGATGAAGTTTGCGGTCCAGTTGACGGCGATGGCGATGGAGGTAGCGGGTGGTCGGGCGGATTGATTGAATAACTCTGACACTAGGAACCACGGAATACTTCCTGGTCCAGTGGCAAATAGGACGACGAACATGATGACAAGCACGATCGAGAAGTATGCTGCTGCGCGTGAGGTTTCCTAAAATGTACAAATAAAACATTTAATTATGATCTCAAATTAATTTAGTTAGTCAAGACAACAAAGTCTCAAAGTCTTTTAAGAGTTGTTGTATCTTACCTTGACTAACTAAAGAATAAGAGTACAGTTCAATGGCGCTATAAATGCTTCGAAGCTTTTGATTGACCAATCGAAAAAAAGAATTTTTTTAAGTGATCAATAAAAAAAAGAGCATTTGTGTAGCACCAAATGGACCATAGTTTAAGAATACTTACAGCGAATACGAGACAAATGGCGAGTAGAGCGGTATCCACGAACATGCCGGAAAATCCGACCAAGAGTAGTGTTTTTCTGCCTGCTTTTTCTACTAATACTAAAGAGACGATGGTCATTAAGACGTTCATAGCGCCGACTCCCATCGTGGCATTCTGAGCGGCATGCTTGTCGAGTTGCGCCATCCTGAAGATCTTCGTCGAGAAAAACATGACGGCATTTATGCCGGATAACTGTTGGGCGAACATAATCATGATCGAGATGAATAACGGGATACGAAGCGCTGGATTTACAAAGAGTTCGCGCAGAGTGACCTTCGGCACCAGTTTCACTGACTCGTACTCTGCTCGCATTTCTTCCATCTCATCATGAACTTCGATCGTGCCACGTAACCAGGACAGCGCTATTAAGAAGAAAGAAAAAACGATAAATATGAAAAAATGAACAAAGCCGACAAGCGAACAGATCGGACAAAGGATTTGATTATTCTATGACGCATAAAGCGACAGATTAAAAAAAGATATTTATTTCGAGGAATACTTATAAATTCCTTTCAAAGTATCTCTTTTATCCGCTTAACTTTATAATTCGCGTTTTACATTCGCTATTTGTGATGAAATAAATTATATTCTTTCCTACCTCTTTGTGCATCCATGTCTTTGCCGCGATTGAGCAACAGATATTTGGGACTTTCGGGACAGAGAGGCAGCGTGCATATCTGGAAGATCGCTGGTACGATTGTCAAACATAGTAGCAACGGCCATTGTTCGGAGGTACCAAGGACTTGCTCCAGACCGAGGATTTGCGATACCAGAATCGAAATGGTGATGACTAGCTGATAGACGGTGCCCACGGCGCCACGTAGATGCACAGGTGAAATCTCAGCCAGGTACATTGGTGCCAGGCCAGCATTCAGCCCAGAGTTTATACCGATCAGGAACCTGCCAACGATTATCATTTCGTAGCTCTTCGCCGCCTTGGCGCTACCTTCGAAGATCACAGTCACCAGGACCAAGATGTTGTTCAGCAGCAGACCGCCCTTTCTGCCGAAACGATCCGCTACCCAGCCTATCATGGAACCCCCTATCATTCCACCGACGCAAAAGATCGACACTGCCAACGACCAAATTAACGTCACTTCCGTCTTTTCCGTTGGGATGCCCGTGCGGTTTGTTTTCAGATCTTTGATCCAATCTTCGATAAGCTATAAACGTTAAAATATTTATTTAATTATTTATTTATTTAAAATCTTCATAATTTTTCACTCATTATTTATTTATTTTTTCCGTACATCATAAATATTTTACTATCTCATATTATTGGATGGATTCGTAATTCTAACATAGAAATACAATCTATATAATATGTACTTCTTACACAGAGAAAAAGATTTCTTTGGATTTAATAAATGTTATTGAATACAAATAAATTTGTTATTTGGAATGGTTCAAAGCAATGAATCAGTTTAAATCAATAAATGATTGTTTGAATTTGAAACAATGTTATCGTTGTCTTAAATATATTATTTGTTTGAACAGATAATGTCTATCTTCGGCATTCGCGTGATCAAACTGTATGGCACAAACATAATTAATATAGCATATAGTAATTTCGGCCAAAAAAATGTAAGCGTTGTTCTAAGAAAACAATTATTTACATGGAACAATCTCTATCAATATATTTTGCCATTTTTAAATAAATAATTTTTGTTTATATTCATTGTAACCAAATAATATATATTATTTGATTGAAAGATATTACTTCAAATAGTAATGTTATTTCTGTCAAGCAATAGAAGTATCTCGAATGAAACAACAAAATTTTTATTCAAACAAATAATATTTCATACAAGCATATGTTGTTTCAATGAAATAAATTTTAGTCAAATTTCTTATAAGAAATATTAAATTCAAAGAAACCTTTTTCTCTGTGTATATATTAAGAAAAAGTAAATGTAAGAATTTAGATAAATGTTCTTGCAATGTAAGATGTTTTAAGAATGTCTGATTAAATTGGTATTTATACCTGTTGAGGGGCATTAACCACACCGGTATTGTATCCATGCTGGAACGATGAACCGAGAGCAGCCGCTGCGATAGCGAATGCTAATCGGCCGTTAAGACCCTATGACAGAAATCGGAAATATTACATGTACATGGGAAATCTTATTTTAAAGTTATTACAGGAAAAATATGTATTTTTATCTTATATTAAATATGTTATTTTTATTTTGTATTAAAAAAGAAAATATCTACGTATAATTTTAATTAATTTTCTGATTAAAATTTAAAGAGAAATATTCCTTCGGAAAATTCTTATAAGGAATATTCTCTTAGCATTTTCGAAATGACGTCGTTATATTTCTTCTTGAAATGCAAATATCAATATCAGACGTATAGTCAGGCATATTGAAAAAGTGATAAATATTCAACGCGCAAAGTATAATGTAAAAATATTGCTTATTGGCTTTCAGCTGTCAAATCGGAAAAATCGAATATGTGTCGTACAAGTAACGAATCGCGAAATATTCGCGAGAAATATTATTTTATTAAATAAAATTTTCGTGTATCTTTATCTTTTATTTTTAGAATATTTCGCATATATATATTCATATATATTATATATACAAGAAAAGAAGAAACATTTCTAATGTAAAAGGAAAGTCGTCCCATTTCGCAGAGATTAAATTTCTTTCGTATCTTCTAATACCGGGAATATTGCTACTTTTGCAGAGACGTGCGTACCGTTCTTCTCACATACGGCATCTCGAAGTCGGTTGACTTTATCGTCATCCTGAATGAAAACTTTCCTTACAAAGGCATACACTTTTGATCACGTTCCAATATTTCACTTTCACCAATCGACACACACGCGATAGACGAAAAAAATTACATGAATTGTGTCGGATCGTTTATTTTGTAGTTCGTCTTAATGTTATATCGTTCTTCAGTATCTCAAGTATCTTGGAACATGTGCCGAAGACTGGTGAGTTGGTATTCTCGCTGGCCATTCTTATACTATGAGACTACATACGCACACATACATGCGTACGCATGCGAAGTATATACATCTTTCCATTTGGAAGATACACACACACATTCCATACGCATGCGTATGTGTCGCGTTATTTAACACGGCACTACAATATACGTACATTACTCAATGATCTTTTTTCTTTTATTGAATTTGCATAAGTACAGTATATGATGCATATTCATTCGCATACATCATTTCCATGGAGAACCGATACTCCATTACACGCAAGAACTTTCAATGTGTGCCAAACAATGGCGTAAATCGCGTAAATTATATCTTATTAAAACGAATTTGTTTCTATAATCGGTGTTCAATTAAATTGTATTAACATTAAAAAAAAAAAAGAAATAAAAGACAAATCGGTAGCGAGAATTAATTATTCAATATAGATATGAATATTCTTTCGAAACACCTTCATTTATTTTTGGATTATTATAGTTTACTCACTAGATTAGGTTTTGCACTCGCCGTATTATATTAAATCTTTAATTAATAACATTAATATCAAAATTATAGAAGAATAATTCTTGAAATAAAAAAATGAAATAATTTCTTCTCTACATTTCACGACAATTGCAATTGGAGAACGTAGAAAATGCATGCATGGATCACATCGCAAGAATCGCAAATGAAGCGCACCATCATCATATTATTCCAAACGCATATATTTACATATGCATAGCATTTATAAATATTTATCAATGCATTTTTGACAATGTTATGAATCTTCTTTGACGTCGTCAGTCCGATAGCCGGAATGCACTTCGTACACGAATATATGATAACAATGCTATGTACTATGCACCGAGACTGTATTCATTAAAAGAAATTCTATTCCGTTCAGATCATACACTGGACTTTAAATTCTATTTACAAAATAAATAACAATTGCAATTTATCTTTTAATAATATTTGCTTCTGGTTTCATTTTTTCATTCTTTTTATCTCTCAAAGCTCTGCAAGAGCATATACTCTTATTCAATTTCACTATAAATATGCAAAAGAGAGCAGCAAAGCAAACAAATCTATTAAAGCATTTACATTGCGGTAATCGTCCACTTTATAATTTTGTATCTTCGATCTTTATCTATTTGAGATAATTCAATTCTTAAAATGATACGAGCAAAATTAGACCTTGTTTAGCTGGACGGTCGAGCTAACAATAAGTAAGCTAGAGATAAATGCAAATCATTCGAACGTTAAACTGATAGTATTATAATGTTGGATTTAATAAATTAACGTTGTACGTCAATGAAAATATTCTCATCTTTCGTTATCTCGCGTTTTTATGTGCTGGTGCGAGTGGAAGATACAAATGCATTCGAAGTTTGCACAATGCAGTGCATACTAAATCCTTGTCTCGTGATGCATCGTTCATTGATCGCGCATCGTGTAACTTTTTACGCATATAAAATAAGATGTTTTTGTAAACATTTTTCAAAAATTTGTTGAAGTATAACTACAAAAAATAATTTCTCAAAAATAATGTTTCACTGAAAATTTATATAATTTTTTTCGCCGATTTTTACACGCGCGCACACACACACACGCACGCACGCACGCACGCACGCACGCACGCACGCACGCACGCGCAAACACACACACACGCACGCACGCACGCACGCACGCACGCACGCACACACACACACACACACACACATACACACATTCATAAATGATAAAGTTCATGCATTACATTTTAATAAGAAAAAATAATATGGAATATTATAGAAGCAACACAAATAGAAACGACTTCTCGAACTGCAAAAAAAGAAGCGTTACATAAAAGGCATTTATAGGCGTGAATCTAAATCCTGACAGTTCGTATTATTTACATTTATTATTAATATGGCCGGAAGCATGTATATTCTCGATTAAGAGAAGTCACAAAAAGAATCAATATAAAATTATGTTAAAGCTGTACTTATAGTGAAAATTATTTAATTTCAATGAATTGAAACAAATTCACGTGTTAAATATTTAATCTCTAAAATATATAGATTGCTTTTCAAATCTGATCGAATATAAAAAGAGAATTTTATTTCAATTTATCTAAAAAATAAATAAATAATAGCAAATAAAAATATTCAATTATTGATCAGTCAAATACTTGACTTTGTAAATTAAGAATCTACACATTCGCATTATACATTTTTATTAGATAATTTGATCCTTAGAATTCACCTGATTTTTACAAAGACAAGAACAATGTTTTGTCTCGCAATTATTGTCGAAATAAAAAAATATGCAATCAGGCGAAAAGTATAGAACAAATGCTTACTTATTTCTTCGCAGCGATAATCATTCTATTAACCCATACATATCACGAAGATAAGGGCACGACCAAAGAGATTACCAATGCTAAAGCGACTCGCAATTTATTCCGATGCTACATAAAAAGTCGCCTTCAAATATTTAGCTGTTTCTGATGATTTATTTAATTTTTAAGGTTACTTAATTTCCACACAATTATATTTATTTCAAATGCAGATATATGTATATTAAAGAAAACATGCATAACAACTGAAACGAAGTAATTAAAAGAAATAATTTTTGCAAAACAAACATGTGAAGATAGAAACGGAAGAGCGATTGGATCAAGTATTAATTTAAACAGAGTTCCATCAAGGCAAAACGTAAATTGATAACAAAATGTGTTATTTTTATTTTGAGTCTTTAAAAATGAAATCAGTTTAATATAATCACGGCTATAAATGTCGTGTTTAATATTAAAAATGATAAATTAATGTTTGCACGCGAATCTGTGCAAGGGTGTCGACCCTAAACGCCATCAATCCACAATAGCTCTATGATTGTGTGTGTGCGTGTGCTACAAAACTGATATTGATCGCACACGAGACAGTGGATAAAACCATCTAGATCATGGTCGGAGAATACAAGCATGAAACCTTGGAAACGATCTGAATCGCATTTCTATGTTACCTTCTATCATCAATTTCTTCTTGTAATTTTTATTGCAATTTCAAATTTATTTTGAATTTTAAACAGGCTATTATTTTATAAAATAAAGTTCTGTCAGTCTTTCTTAGAGAATTCAATTTTTTTAGACAGAGAATGTACATATTTATTACGCGGATGATATTTGTTATAAAATTCATGAGAAACCTGTCAGAACAATAGAACACTTTTGCAAGTAAATAGTTGACAATAAGTTAAACAAGAATTCATTTCGTGAAATTGAATTTCTAATTCATCAAAGCGGAAAATTAGTTTTTAAATCGAAACTTTTCTGCCTGTCTTTTTGTAATAGTTACTTGAATGTTGAATTAATTTAATATTAAATTTAATTGCAAATGTAAACAAATTTATCTTTTTTTCTTTTTTATTATTTTCTCACCGGTTCTTCTATCGATTAGAATTTACTTTATTAAATGAAAAAGAATTGAATTTAAATTGCAGAGTACACTTGTGATTTCAAAGATATTTCAAAATTGATTTCTTTTCGATATAAGAAGAATAAAATAACTCTTTATTTATTCAGACAGCATACAATATTTAAAATATTGATAAATATTTATAAGGCTTATTTTAAATATTTTGTGGTCTTGAATTGCATAGATCATAAATATTTATTATAAATATTATGAAATATTTATTGTAAATCTTCTAGTTCTGTGGAAATACTTATTGTAAGACATTAAAATCCAAAAAAGAAATACTTAACAGAAATATTATTTATATTTATCATAAATATTATATTTATTTTCTATCTTTTAATAATATTTCGAATAAAGCTTCATATAAAATATGTACATAAAATATTTACATAACATTAAAAAAAATGAATAATAATAAATATTCTGTGCTGTCTAGGCGATATTCGCTCTATCATTGATCGGAGGTGACGCCTATGAACGGCTAGAAGTCGTTCCAACCAGTTCCAACGGCTGGCCAGCCGGGCGTGCGTGCGTTGCGTACGAGCATTGTAATCGTATACGGCACAGCGGATATCACATACACACGCATTGCAGTCACGTGCGTAAGGGATATTCGGTCGTCGGATTTCTACATAGCAAAGTTCCAGGCCATGACGTATCCCGCGTCATAAAGAAACAAGCTATTCGTCTGTAGTGTGCATATGCACTCGTAACGAAATCCGCTCGCAACTGCATTGGCCGTAGCGAAGGCGTGTCGCCGCGCTATTGGTGTTGTCGGTACATCCAAGTCGAGCCCCCCGAGAAAACGGCGGCGGCGGCGGCGACGACGACGACAACAGAGGCTTGAGCGCGCTAAAAATAACTCGAATACTCGCGTGAGCACGAGCGCGCCACCGACATTCGTCTACGTGTGCTGCCTGTTTTCGAGACGCCGTTGTCCTGGTTACCTTGCCAAGCCGCTAATTTCGATGTTCCACGAGACCGATGGCGAAAAGAACGCGCGTCCCCGTACAAGGTCCGCAAATGTTCTTGTTTCTTTGATATGGATGGTCTAGTCTCGTTCCGGAACACTTTCCTACTTCTTTTCGCCCCTTTCAATTTTCATTTCTTTCTTAACAATTAGGATAAATCTTATATGAAAGAAACTGATTAAAATAAGAGGTCTCTATTCCGTAACTTTTAATGACAGTATCGGTGTCACAGGTTTTAATTATATTGTATATAGTAAAAAGAGTTGTACAATAACGATATCGTTGTAAAAATTAGAGATTCTAAAGTAATTTTCCACCTGAGAAAATATCAATGATTATTTAATGAGCGCCCCGCAAAGATTTCAATATTTAAGGTATAGTCGTTTCGTATCGAGACGATAATATTGTGGATAAGATTTCACTGTTCGTGTTACTGAAAAATTGAGATGCATGATGTGCTAATTTCTATAGATAAGCCAGTACAACAAAACACATAGAATTGCATTGCACAATTTTATCTTTGTTATTTCTTTCAATTGAGCGACCTTCTTTTAATTTGGTTTTCATTGTTTTTAAGCAAAAAAAAAATGACGAAAAAAGATCTCAGATATCTTTAGAATGATCGGACGCTGCAAAAAAGATTGTTTTGTGGCACACTTCTTAATATGCAATTTGCGCCTCTTATGGAGTCGCAAAACGACCGATATGATACGCAATGGAATGATAATGAATGATTGCACATTATGATAATCGCGTGTAATCGTCTTCTTGGAATTCTACGAAGATGACGATGCAATGCTAATCATTTTAGCTATATTAACTATTGTTCCAAAGTGTTTAGAACACTTTAACGTAAAAGTCACGTGTTTCCAAGTAGAGAAAAGAACTTAATTACCTCCCATGTCATCCTGTTCTGCATGATTAACTTACTAAGCCGATTGCATTTTTTTCGTTGAAGGACTTTTTATGAAAATTTCACGCACGATAATAGTATTTCGCTTTATATGCCGTGAAAATGGAGCTTAATGATAATGATAAGTTTCAATGGGAGCTTTTGATTAGCTCTTGTCGCTCATATATTGTATTTTAAAGAGCACTGACGAGGCACTTCCTCCGTTTTTGATTATTATCGAATCACAGCCAATCGTCATATAACGCGAAGCTCCTTTGCAGTACATTAAACTGAAAAATCTCAATTTTTTGATACATTAAACCTGTTTAATATTTATTTATATAGAAAAATTAAACATAATATTTATGATTCGTGGATTTGTAACTCATGGATTTATCAATTTCTCCGCAATATTTATACGATTTGAGCAAAAGGCAATTTTATTTTACGAAACAAAAATTTCTTTGATTTCATTGCATTCGAATTTGATTTAAATGATTACAATCAAAAGGCAAGCATTGAACTTTTAATCAAATTAAAGTTTTGTACAATGAAGAATTATTTTTCTTTGTTTAATATTCACTTAATTTTCTTTTAGCGACGCTGTACGCGTTTACCTTAATTGCTTCAAAATGTAAACTTAAATATAAACGTGTTTGTATGTTTTCAGCCAAGCGCACATATCATGTCACTGTCTTGTTTTGATGCTTAAAAGATGTAATTATTACGTATACTTTTGTTTTGTTTTATACATAAAAATTGTGAAAAATGAAAAAAAAGATTTAGGGATTAAATTTGTGTATATTCCTACAAGCGAGAAGTTTACTGAACCGAACAAATCGATATATAACTGAACATGCTTAAGTCCATTTGATTTCAATACAAACGTCTAAATATCAAATATTCTTTTAGTCACGGATGTCATAAGTCTCGATATCATTTATTTTTCCCAAACATATTTTGAAATACCGATTAGAGTCATGAATTTTACATGGCATCTTCAATAGTGTTATAAAATTTTAATGGAACTCTATAATAGTTACAATCGTTAAGTAATATACCGAGTCGACCTTTTCATAAACTTTTATTTCAATTCTATGGAAATATACATATCCGGTTTCGCTGCATATCAATTCCAGAATCAACCTCGATATAACAAGTAATATTTATGATTTTTTGTCCAACTTGCATAGAGTTTCTTTTACAAAAATGCTAAGGTACTAACTTTTGAATAATTAGCAATTGAAGAGGGTAGACTTATCATGAATCGATTTTCAGAATAACGGGTGTAGAGGACAAAATTATGTTTTCTTTTTGATTTTAATCAAAATTTAATTTAAAAGAAATTTAATTCTGTGAATAACAAATTAATTTAATTACGACTGTATTAAAAGATTCGCTTCTACAAATTTGTCAGTTATAAAAATTTTTTAATTTTCGAGCATATTATTTATATTTAAGCGTAAAAAGATGTCTTAACTCGTTTAAGAGTTTTACCTTGAGTTCCATGTTTTATGCGAATAATCCGCACTTAATACACTCTGTCTTTTTGCTATTTCTATCTTTTCTCTAAATCTTCCGTTCTTCTTCTTTTAGAGTCAAATGTCTTTCTTCGTAATACAATCACCCTTTCTCACGATATAACTGCTCCTTAAAAATATCGCCTGTGAGAAGAGCGCGATTCCAAAAATTCACTCGAGCTGATAAAAGTCTCGACAATTCCGACAACTAACGAGACCTCCGTACTACAATCGCGAGCGCGCGTAACTGCCACCGATATTCGTGTGATGGTATAACCGAAGCCGATTTTCAAAAGACCCCGCATACTTCCTTCGTGTCCCCCTCTTTCACTGGGACCGGTACAACGACAGCGCGATTGGGCGGTCCAGGACTGGATTCCGGTTGCGTTAACCTTTCACCATCCCACGCACCCTTACCACACAACGAAGGGGGGACGCACTAAAAAGAAGAAAAGAAATAGCGGTTCATCGAGCAGTTTGAAACGCAAAAGGCGCGGCACTCAATAATAGCTCGAAATAGCTGGGAAAATTACAATGACAACGAGAGTTTTTAATAGAATTATACATAATTTTTATATTAATAATAATTGACTTTGTCTCTAATATTTTTTTTTTTTTTAAGTATGAGAGACATCTGAGAATTAATAGATAAATAATTTTATGACGCGCAATAATTTTTGCGAGAAAGGGATATAGCAACTGCGAGTATTGCGATCCAATATATGCGGTTGATTCGAGATATTCAACACGAAGTAATCCTAGTCGTACTCGCATTACGAAAAAAAAAAAATTGGAACGTTTTATGATGCAATACAGAAGAAATATCGCGTGATGAGAGAGGCACATATATTTATTATTAGCAAAAATGCAGATTGTAACAATATCGTGTCATATTGCACAAAACTACATTCTAAATTATGTTCGATCGCGCATATGTGAGATTTATTATAAAATATAATGTATGAGAAGAGATAATGAGAAATTCTTAAAATGTATAACAGAAAAAGAAAATAAACATTATTTATAAAATTAATTAAGAAATCAGATTTTCTTTCTCTCGCGATTATTCTTGAAAACGTTTTCAAAATGCTTTTTTTCCAAAATATTTTTTCATCATCCACGTGGAATGCATCCAAGCTATTCTTAAAACATTTATTGCTTGTACAGCATTCCTACAGTCTTCTGAAAAAAAGTTCTATCTCCTACAGAATATTCTTAGCTCACATTATACGTTTACAACATTTCCATGATTTTATAAGCAAAGGTTACGCGCACTTTGTCATCTCGGAAGAAAAAATTGGAAATACAACGTGGCACTTCTTCAAGCATCTCTTAATCTTTGCACTTTGAAGTGATTCTTTTCACGTTTCTTATAAATACGCTTCTGACGATGCCGGAGAGTACATATGATACCGGACGCGGTCTGTTGATGACGACCGGTTAGGTCACGTTAGTATGTGTCAATTTTACAATTAAGCCGCATTGAAACGGATCATTTCTACGACTTCACGCACATGTCCCGGCGAACTCATATAGCTGACTTCGAGATTCGTTTTGCCTCTGATACAGTACACATACAGTACATTGTATGTGTAACAATTATGTTATATGAGATATTAAAAATAAATATTACTGTACGAATAAATATCATTTTAATGAAATATTCCTTTCAAATCCCTTCTTTCCAAATGTATCAAACTTCATTAATATATGTTGTAAATTATACCGAAATTATATTTTCGGATAGCTTTGAAAAAGATCTCTAAAAGATCATTCGAATTTACTCAAGAATAGCAGTGCAGAAATGTACAATACTTAGTCGCTGTACATGAAAGTCTCGTCATAAATGTTTACCGAATTAAGGCCTAGCACTGATCCCTTTATTGTACGCTATAATTCAATATAAAATAAATATAAGATGTCACACGTGTGTGCAGATACGCGCGTTACACAAATATTATTATACTATAAAAATGATATCATAGGAAAATTTAGGATTTTAAATGATATATCGAGTACATGTTTATTTATATCAAGAAAAGAAAAGAGTAAAACTGCCATAGAGAAAAGATTACTTAAAAAAAAAAAACTGGTTTCATCTTCGTCTTATTTTAGTTAATGATTGAAAGTTACTACATAAATATCGATATGAATAGATCTTAGACTCAGATAGGCAGATATTACTCACCATTAGAAACAATTGTTATTAATTGTCCTAATACGTCGGCCGAAGCTGACGACACAAGATCTAATTTGCATGTGTCTCCATTTCTGCCAATAGGAATTATTAAGAAATAAAGCCTTCAAGTTTAACAGCTCTTTGTTAAATCAGACATGTCAAACAAATGTCCAGCGTCAATTTGTTAAATATCTCACTGTAGTCATGAACTCTCAATTTCTATCAAAGTAAAACCCATCTGTCGAAAAATTAAATTTTAGTCGCTACTTGTCCAAAATTATTTATCTGTATTATTAAATTAATACAAACTTATCAACATGGATTAATTATTGCGTTAGATAATAGGAATAACATAGATGTGTTAAAACAAAAGAAAATATTTAGTGTTAATTCATACATTAATATTAATTTACAACACAATCCATTCTTAAAAATTTTTGGTATTATTTTCTTACCCCCAACAATCTAATGCTTTTTAAATATTATTTTATCGTCGGCAAATTATAGCCAGAGCTCGATGTCTCAATAATACCCCTATATTCCTCTTTCCTCCTCAAATAATATCATCAAAATTTCAACACATTGCTGCGATAGAACGTTATCTCTTTTGTGGACTTTGTGACGCGTTTATCATGATACAACTCGCTTTTGGTAGGCGTGAATATAATTACATCTATATTATATTTATTCTCATAATTTCAATTTAGTTTAATGATATAAATACTTTATTTTATATATATATATATATGTGTGTGTATATATATATATGTGTGTGTGTGTGTGTGTGTGTGTGTGTGTGTGTGTGTGTGTGTGTGTGTGTATACGCAAGATATGTCTTAGCGCACATATTCAAAAGTGCAACAGTATTCTGCCAATATGGATGCGGGACGAGACCACGATAATTTGCGAGTCAATGACTTTGGCGAGACATCAATAACATGATTCGTCACTGTATGCGAATACATTTTTCTTCGCTGTATGTTCGATCGCAATTCACTTTCTCGAGGAACATCTACGACGAATGGGTGATAATAGTTGGTACTTACCCAATCCTTATCAGCCGTGGCAGGCTGCAAAAGAAAAAATAGAGAAAAAAAAAATTGAGATAATTTCATAAGAAATTTCGTAAGCAAATGTCAAAACGTTATCATTACTCAGATATTTAATAAGCGGATATAATAAACGCGTAAATAGTCTTGTAACTTTGAATGTTAATAGTATTTCGTTAATCTATCTGTCCTATGGTTGCCTAAATATATTTTGCATTGAAGAAATATATAAAATAAATTATAATTTGGTAGAGATATTTGTTTCACTTAATCAATAATAAAAAGAATTACCTAAATATAACTTTATTAATTCAACTTTGATTTGATAATTTAAATGATTTGATAACTTACTGAAACAGCATATATAAAATATATATATAAAACGATACGACATGATAAATAAAGATAACATTTTTTAAATATTTTTTGAAATTTCAAAATATTATATTTGCTTATCATTTGATTACTAGTTACATCGCACAAATAAACAATTATACTCGAAAATTAATACATATATATAAGAAAAAGATTACCTTTGGTGTTGGAGCCAGAGCCGTTGGCGTTGTCGCCTGTTCCTGAATGTCGTCGGTTGACTAGAGTGAAATGTTTAATTACACTAATTTCGTAACATATATGAGCGGCGTAGGTGGAAAGCACGAGAATATAATTGAAAAATTCTATACAATAGTGATCCTTTTTTTTAGAAATAGAAATAATTAAATTTTAATCTTCTCTCTTGATGTAAACATTAATCATTTAACATCATAAAATAATAACTTAAATCATTTTTGCAAATTCTGACTCTGTTATGATATTTTTCTATACAAAAATAAAGAATAAAATAAATGTGAAAAAATCCCATCTTTATATTTTATGTTTATATTTTACGTTTAATAAATAAAATAATACAATAAAAACAATAATAGTAAAACATAATTTTATTCATTAAATTAATTACGTAAAACTTTTGCATTCTACCTTTAATTTCCGGCTATACCTTCAAAGTAAGAATAATGCGTAGATATATGTATACGATACCTTTTCTTTTTCCACACCCATCGTATAGCAGCTTGAAAGAATAGAAAACAAACAGGTTGGTTAATCAGTGAAATTCTAAAAATGTAATTTTTGAGTATATATGCGATATCTCTCTATGCAAATATACGAGACCCGAAAAATCCGTAGCCAATATCGCTCGAAAATGAAAAAGAATCGTTTTATAGCAATAAAAAGTAACTTTTAGAACTCGCGATAACTCGTTGGAATGTCTTATAAAATGCGATATCGATCGATTAAGAACGGCTACTGTTTGCATCATTGCACACATATGATGCAATATGAAATAAAAAGCTCACCTTTAAGGATGACAAGTGCAAACGTGATGTGATTTATAGGTATGACGAAGGTCGTAAAAAAATTTATTTCAACAATAATGTTAAAACTATAAAATGAGAAAATTTTAAAATATTTTTCACAATCGATACATTTATAAATCGATAACATATGTATCTGTAATAAAATTTATTAAAAACTATTATATATTTTATATTGTACATATAAATTCTGAATTACATCACGACAAAATGTATTATACGAACATTGCATTTGCAGTGATGAATCCATTTTATATAAAAAATTCCATCTTATTAGATTTTGTTCAGAAAAGTTCAATAAAAAATATTTTCACGTTAACATGAAGTTTGATGAGGTAAAAATTGGATATTGTTGAAAAATTTTGGATAAAAGTACAATAAATATCGACTTTCACAAAAATACTTTTTCTTACGTTTTCCATTGAAATTATTAAGAAACAGATACATTAATAATATATTATTAGTTAGATTAATATACAAGATATGAAAGTTAATGTATACGGGAAACTCCATTCGAAGACTCCACTGTCACTACATTGTCGACAGGATGGTGCAATCGTTCCTTTATTCTTCTATTATTCTGACATATTTCTTCTTCAAATTTATTTCATGCAAATCCGATTAGTTAGGCGAAGCATTTATCAAGCATACTCTAATAATTGACATGTCTAGACTACAAAATGGCTGGAAATAAATTTCTAGAGAGGAAAAATAAAAAATAAATACTGTAAAAAAAAAAATAATAATAAAATATTACAAAAGTAATAATAATAGAAATACTATAAAAGAAATACTAAATAATCGATAATGAATCATAACATAG